TTCTAGTACTTTGTGAAGGTATAAAAGTGTGCAAAAAATGGAAGTCTATACCTGCTAAATCACATTGCTGCAGGGAACTTTTTTTTTTTAAGATTTTATTTATTTATTTGTCAGAGAGAGAGAGCACACGCAGAGGGAGAAGCAAGCTCCCTACTAAGCGGGGAGCCTGATGCGGGACTCAATCCCTGGACCCCGGGATCATGACCTGAGCGGAAGGCAGACGCTTCACCAACCGAGCCCCCCCAGGCCTCCCAACTGCAGGGAATTTCTGATAAGAACTTGGAAAGTAGAATTGGCTACATTTTCTTCTGGGGAATATAATAGACAGGATCCTTAATCTGCAGCTTGAAGGATTTTGTTTGTACCTAAGAAACCCTCCCGGACCAGTTGCTTGCTGTCAGTTAGTCCCTGCCCTTGACGGCCATTGTCATCTCTCGCCCCACGAGAGGAGAGAACAAGGGCCGAGTCCAGCCGGGCACACTGAGGTTAGACAGGCAGAGCTCTGGGGCGCTGACGAACAAGGTTCTAGAATGGCAAGTTCTAGGTGGGAGCCAGAGCCGAAGGCCACCCCCGTCAGTGGTGCCACTCCACATCCCCTCAGTCATCAAAACCTATGTACCCCACTGTCTCAGAACCTCCACGAGAGGGGTTCTTAACTGGACTGGTGAAGTCGACGGATCCTTCTGCTTTCTTTTTTTTTAAGTAAATTCTGTGCCCAGTGTGGGGCTCGAACTCTCAACCCCAAGATCGAGAGTCGCGTGCTCTACTGATGGAGCCAGCCGCGCCTCCCCCGCCCTTTTTTTTTTTTTTTTACCCTTCCCAGATGGATGTTTTATTTTTTATTTTATTTTTTTTAAAGATTTTATTTATTTATTTATTTGAGAGAGAGAATGAGATAGAGAAAGAGAGAGAGCATGAGAGGGGGGAGGGTCTGAGGGAGAAGCAGGCTCCCCACTGAGCAGGGAGCCCATATGGAGGCTCCATCCCAGGACCCTGGGATCATGACCTGAGCCGAAGGCAGTCGCTTAACCGACTGAGCCACCCAGGATCCCCAGATGGATGTTTTAAATGCCTTAAATAAAACACATTTTACTGAAACACAGCTATCAAGATGTTACAAGATATGGAGTGGCCCTGATACTTAGTGATGAACGTAAGTGATATTTTGAGGTTTTTGTGACAACTCTAATGCGATATGAAAATTTCTGTGGTTTTACTGATGACGAAGTCACGGTTCTGCTCATGGTACTGTTGCCCACAGACGTGCTAATGGAAAGAAATGCTAAATTTCAGTTCAAAGATTACTAAAAATAACTGCATGGTTTCCCCTCTAACTCCACAGACCTGCCTCCCTAACCCCATCCCGTCCTTGTTCAGGCTCAGGCCGTGCTGTGCTCTCCTCGCGACCGTGGGCTGTGCACTGGCCTCCCTCGTCCAGTCTTGTCACCCTGCCCGGGCAGCCCTTCCCCGTGCCCCGGGAGCAGCAGATCTAAGTCTCTTGGCTGGTTCCCAAAGCTCTGGAAGACGGGCCTCACATGGAGCCTGGAAACCCGCGAGCCCTTCCCAGAAACAGACCCACTTTTCCTTCAAGCTGTGCCCTCTTCCAGTCGGTGCAGCCCCAGGCCCCGCGCGGAGAGATCCGACCCGCTCTGCCTTTCAGACCCCTTCTACTGGATCAGCCCCGGAGTGCTGGTTCTCATCGCGGCCCTCCCTGTGCTGCTTCTGCAGATCACCGTGGGCCTCGTCTACCTCTGCCTGCAGCACAGACTGAGAGGTACAGGCTGCTGGGCCCCTTCCCTGAAATACCCTGGCCTCTGGGAGCTTGTTGCCTAATGTTTAATTTTGAGTGACTTCTGGGTTCAAAACTGCAGAATGACAATCTGACGTCTTACCAAATGCTTCCATTTCTGTAACGGCTGCTTGCATTTCCCTGTGAGGTAGGGCCGACCTCCAACAGCCCCATTTTACAGAGGAGGCACCCGAGGCCTGGGGTGGTTCAGCAGTTATGGGAGCGACACACTGTCAGTGGCAGGGCATGGGCCTGACCCCCGTGGTCTCTGGACCACACCTGGCAGCTTCGTGCCGAGGGAGAGTGAGCCTCCGAGTCCGACAGGTCGACGCCTACCGGAGGTTTAAAATAACGACCCTGAGCAAAAGTCCCCACCGCATCGTCAGCATTGGAAACCTGTTTCCTTCTTGTTTTCCGCTCAACACGGAGGACCCGGCCTTAGCTATCAGTGAAGCTCCTCTTCTGTGCCCAGAGCATCCACCCTGCACCTTCTCCCTGAGCCAAATCTCACGGGCCCTGGGATTCTTCTCCCCCCCGCCGGGTCCTGAGAGCATAAAGCTGCAGGGAGGGCTGGGGTGTGCAAGGCCGTAAGGGTGGGTCCTCTCTCTTCCCTTGAACTCATCCCGGGTACTCGGTGCCCTTCTCCCCCCACGTGAAAAAGGCTGTCAGTTCCCACGGCTGAGCAGAAGGGACGTGTGATGGTGTCTGGCCGCCCAGGTTTGAATCCAGCGTAGGGCTGATGGACCTTGTCTTGCGGGCGGACCTGCCTCCCTCCCGTCTGGGAAGGGATATTGTGATGCAGCGTCTACTTGGGAGCCTGTCTCCTTCTGCATTCGGACGTTAGTGGCTTTAGATTTTCAAAGTGACAGCCCAGTGGGGGGCGGGGGGGGTCGACGACAAAGACCTGCGAGCCCAAGGCGAAGAGCCGCTACGGGAGGTGAGGGCACCTGAGGCTGTTTGGGGCCGTTGCTGTCCCCGCACTGGACTCCAGTATTTCATGCCGCCCCCGGCCGGGGAGAGAGCTGCGAACCCGGGCTCTCCCATCCACCCCCTGCGGGCAGTCCTGGGCGGCAGAGAAGCCGCCTGCGCCGAGGCCCCGGCGCGGGGTGTGGGAGGGGCCCCACCTCATGCCAGGGCTGGAACTAACAGTGTTGCCTTTTTCTGTTTTAGGAAAACTTCGAGCAGAGATAGGTGAGTTTTCGTCACCCTCCCTCTGTCCTTCGGCATCACTGCCGTGGTCATTTTCTTTGACCATCTCTGCCTCTGTCCCGCACCCTGTGCTTGCTTCAGACAGGACCTCACTAGTATTTCAGACCCCGGCAGCCACGCATGGATTGTAGCGAGACTGCTTTCTCTGCCACCAGCCGGGGTAGAGTGCAGCAGTTCCCTTTCCTCCGCAGTGTCACTCACTAGAGTTTTAAGTGATTCAATCACAGAGGCTCCGGGGGGGGGGGGGGGCGGGACACCCCCCGAGTGCCCCCCTGAGTCCCTTCCTGTGTGTTCCCTTTCAGAGAACCTGCACCGGACGTTTGGTAAGTGCCAGGACCTGGTCCTCCCTGGTCAGCGTGGTGTCTGTGGGACCCGGTCACCAGGGGAGTAAGAACCCTTGCTCAGGGCTGGTCTCCTGCTTCTTCCTTTCCCTTGAAGAAGTCACGGGTGAGATGACGGTAGCAAGTACCCTGTGCCACTGCTCCGTGCCGGGCACTGTACCAGCAGCCCCACGGGCTAACTCCTGCTGTAGCAAGCACAAGGTTTCCCTGTACAGACGTTAACGGAGGGGAGGTACACAGAGCATCCCATGCACGCCTGGTGTCTAGTTGGGGACGTGAAATGAATTGACTGGAGAACTAAGTCCTGACGCGTCAAGAGCACAGAACAAGTGACTCTACAGGACTGATCGGGGAAGGCTTCCTGGAGGAGACACCAGGCCCCTTTACAACGTTGGCCCTTCAACACTACACTCCCTGTCGTTTTTGTTCGCTGCAGATTCCCCCGTGCCTAAGGACCATGCCTGCAACAGAGGGCCACCCACATCCTTGTGGGATGGATGTTGCACATTTAAAATGCCTTAAGGCAGAGCACAGACGGTCCCTTCCCGAACGAGGAGCACTCCCTCCGAGTGTCTAGGACACCACATCAGCATGCAGACCATGCACACACAGTCTCTGCAACCCAAGAAGGGAGGAACACGGTCTTGGTTTTGTAGGATTCAAGTAGCAAAGGTGTTACCTCTTTCTGTACCATGAGTCTCCTCGACATTCTGGTGAAGCCTAATGGACCCTTTCCCAGAATAAGGTTTTTAAAACAATCACAGAAAACGTTTACAGGACGATTGCAGAGAAAACCATTGAGTTGAAATACAGGTATCAAAATATAAACCCATTTGTAATATAGTAACAAATGTTTCTTTAAATAACAAAAACACACTAACAATGTAGCAGCAGGTCCAATAACTTTGCCAAACTATTGACAAGCATTTTGAGATTTCAGCAATAACTCCAGTGGGAATAAAGTATCTGTGGTTTCTTTGGTGATAAAGTCACAGGACTGCTGATGACTGGTTTGTGGCCTCCATTTTTTATGGAAGAAATGCTAAATTCAGTTAAAGGTTGGTGAAATAAGGATGCAGGGCCTTTCTCATCTGAGTTCAACAGCTCCCTGAACTCTGCACAAGAGCCTGGTGTTCTTGGACCACAGGTTAGGCTCAACAATACATGGAGAAGGGCGGTAGGGGTGGGGGACACCGGCTAATCCTGTTTGCTCTGTGGCCATGGCTCAGACCCCCACTTCCTGAGGGTGCCCTGCTGGAAGATAACCCTGTTTGTGCTGGTGCCAGTGCTCGGACCCCTGCTCGCCTTGGTCATCTGCTATGAATGGCTGCATGGAAGACTTGCAGGTGCAGTGGGGGCAGCAGGCAGGGCCTCTCGGTGGGGGGCCGAGATCCAGAGCACCAAGGCGGCCTTCCTCCTCCGTCCCCAAGGCCAACTCCGGGGAGGGGAACCGCTTGCTGAGCTCCCTGGGGCTGGGGGAGGGAAGGGGGGCATGCCTGGGGAGGGGACCAGTCATCTTCCACCAGTCACGGCTTGCTTTCTTCTTTCCAGGGCAATTTCTTGAAGAGCTAAGTAAGTTTTCTTCTCCCTAGGAAGGCAGGAAGAGGCGGGGCAGGGGAGAGACCAGAAGCCCTGGGGGGTGGGGGCGGGGACGGGGCTGCAGCTGTCCAGCTGGAGAGAGCCTGGCCCCGGAGGCAGAGGGCACTCCAACGTGCTCTGCTGGGGTCCCTTCCCAACCCTCCAGCAGCTGCCCTGGGCCTCACCTCCAACACCAGCTGCTGAGGCAGGTGCAGCAGAGGCAAGGGGACCCCCGGTGGGCCTTTCCTCTCCCTGGATTAATGGCTTGGTACTGACAGATTTTTCAGGTTATTTTCTCCTCCCTCTAGGAAACCCCTTCTGAGTGATGCTGCATCTTGGCAAAGGTGGAGGACAGCCTGGTTGGTCCAAGCACCGACCCTCAGGGTGTGGCATCCCCCGCGGTGTGCCCTCACTGGCCTCCTCACCACCAGGACATCCAATCTGCATTTCCAGGAATGCTCTGGATTCCAAATGGGACCGAGTCCTCTTCGTCATCTACCTTTCCTTTTCCCTGTTTGGCTACCCACATCTGTCCTCTCTCCTCGCTCCATCTGGAAGCCGCCTCTGGCCGTGGCCAGGCAGGTGTCCCTCTCTCTGACGAGACACCTGTGCTGGACAGTGACAGAGGCAGGACTGAGACCAGCAGCCTCCCTGTTGTGAATTCGCCTCTTCGATGCAGTCCATCCTGGGGGGCAGAGCGGAGAGGCGGGGAGCGTTGAAGGGAAGGAGCAGGGGGAGTGCGAACCCTTGGCCCTGAGTGAGCTGCAGGTGAGGCCACGGGCTGGAGCACCATCTGGCCCTGCGGAGCGGCGAGGGCAGCGGAGCGTGCGTCACACTGGCCTCCACCTCCTGCAGGGACGGGTCCCCCAGAGCCCTTCCCTCCTCTCGTGTTATCCCCTATCGGAGCAGCCACTGATTTCTTCAGCAATTACTACTTGATGGTCTACCAGACACAAAGAAACAAGGCAGGTGCTAATTAATAACAATACGAGTTTCCGTGTGCCACTTCTCATGCCTGTCCTTCGGCATTTCCCTCACCACCCCTCCCCTCTCTTCCCCGAGCCTGCAGGTCCATCCGGTCCCCCGAGCCTGCAGGTCCATCCGGTCCCCCGAGCCTGCAGGCCAGGCCGTAGGAAAAGCAAGCCGAAGAAGACCTCAGTCAGAAAGGCCGCTTCTTTGTGTATTGTGGCCTCCTTTGCTCTCCCCCCTCCGGTGCCTTCTCCCCGCCCTCCCTGCCCTCTCCTGGGAGCCTGGATCCTGGGGCAGATCCACGTCCTTCCCTGACAAAGGGGGGGCATGGTGAAAGAAGCCGAGCCATTGGCCCAGGATGGCCCAGCACGCCTGCAGGTTGCCCAGACACAGGTCCTTGCTTTTGGAGCCCCCCCAGTGACCCATGAGGCCCTCCTTGTCCCCAAAGCAGACATCACACACGGGGCAACGGTAGATCTTCTGCCTCCAGTGCATCTGCTGGTGTTTGGCCAGCCCCGACAATGAACTAAAGGACTTGCCACAGCGGAAGCAGCCGCTGGGCTGCTCCAAGAGGTGGGCCTTCTGATGGCTAGAGAGACAGGCTTTCTTGCTGAAGGTCAAAGGGCAATGGGGGCAAGAGAAGACCTTGAGTCTTGAGGGCTTTGCTGGGGGACAGTGGGGCCTGGTGTCCAGGGAGGGGGCTCTCGTGTTGGGTGTCTGTGTCCTGGTCCCAGGCCCCGGGGCTGCACTGGCTGATGCCCACCGTCTCACAGGGACCACCTGCTTCCTGTCGATAGGTGGCTGGCCCTCAGCCACAGGACCCTTGGTTCCAGTGGTGGGTTCTCGGGTCCTGGCCACCAGGGCGTGGGTCACAGCCACAAGCCCCTGGCTGGACCGCTGGCTCCTGTCAGTGCGCTCCTGAGATCCAGTACCTGGAATCCTCCCAATGTGCTTCTGGTCTCTGGCCACCAGCTCCTGGTTTTGGTGTGTCTTCTGGTGGCGTTTGAGCTCGGACCGGTCCCGGAAGCCCTTCCCACAGCAGGGGCAGGAATGGGGCCGGTAACCCAGATGGACACGGCGGTGACGGCTCAGCCCCGACGCGTCACAGTAGGTCTTGTCACAGAGCGGGCAGCAGAAAGGCCTCTCCCCGAGATGTGTGCGCCTGTGGTAGCTGAGGTCCCTGGGGTTTCGGAAGCACTTCCCACACTGGCCGCAGCTGTTCACCGTGTGGGGACTGTGTACAAACTGGTGACTGTGCAGGTTGGAGCGCTTGCTGAAACTCCGTCCACACAGGTAGCACAGGAAGGGTGGCCCGGCCTGGGATGCGGGCAGCGCGGGGGCCCTGTGCGTGGCCCCCGCGGCAGCAGAGGCTGGGCCCGCCCCTCCACAGGCAAGGGACCCCTTGTGGTCTTGCAGCCTCCCAGCCTGAAGTGCCTTCTTCCTGCCGCCTGCCGGGGAGGAGGAGGAGGGACACAGGACTGCCCACGAGAACCCAGCGCCAGCTCCCCTTCAGGCCCCGGCCCCCCAGCTCCCTCAGGCGCCCACTGGACACGCTCTCTCTCACTCTTGGACCTCACAGGCTACAGGCAGAACGGACCTCTGGGTTTCCAAATTAAAAGTGAATCAACACTTAAAGTGGAATCTTTCAACAAGAGCGGAGGTCAGAACTTTAGCCTATACCCACATTTCTCGAACTCCATTTCCTCTCATTTTCAATATCTCACGCTCCCACGACCCCTGCAGGTGACCTCTTAGGTCGTACAAACGCGGACACCTAAGTGAAAGGCGGCGCCGTTAATCATCCAGCTAGAATGGGAAGTGCACACCAGCACCCCTGGTCAGCCCGGCCTGAAATATCTCTCCTTCCTTTCTACCTCAGACCTGAGTCTCTACCTGGGCTCAGCACAAGCTCCTGTCCCTTCCTGTTCTCCTGGAAGGGATGTAAGCACATGGTCTCGAGCCCTCTTGCAGCTCCAAGGGGGGCCAGGTGAGAAGGATGCAGGCTGGAATCGGACGTGCCCGGCCCTGGTGCTCGGAGGCAGGCTTCCACCCTCCCAGGGCATGGCCTGGGCCCCTGCCTGCCGCCCTCCTCTGCCATGCTTACCTGAAGGGAGGCCTTCTCCATTTGGGGGATGGAGCTGGAGCTCTGCTCTCCACTGTTTTTCCTCTTGTTCAAGCTCGATGATCAGATCTGGGTTAGACAGAAAGATTCTGACTGGGGCTGGGAAGGAGAGAGAGAGTTGAGGTCCAAGGCTTGGCCCCTTCATACCCAGGGAGGACAAGGCTACCTTCTTCTGTACCCTTGGTTTAAGAACTTAATCTGGGACACTTAGGTGCAGGGAGGAGACCCTCCTAACGAAGTTCCTGGCACATAATAGGAGCAATTCCGTAAATACTGGTACATTTGAATAGGTACATTTTCAAATTATCATCATGTTCCAAGGATTATCTTTGCCTTCGTGCAGGCTTTCATTTCTTGTCCTTTTACCCTGAGCTTAGTGACCTAGATCTTTCACACCTGGAAGGTATAGAGGGTATAGGGTCAGTAAAGCAAGCTGTGAGCTAATCTACCTACTCAGGGAAGCCAGGTGTCCCAGGGTCCTGGGCGGGGTCCCGGGCAGGGGGCGTGCTGAGGGAACCCTTGCCTCTTACCCACAGACATCAGGTTTCTGAATGTCTCAGACATGACATTTTGGTACAGGACCCTCTGACTGGCGTCTAGACACACCCACTCTTCCTGCGTGAAATTCACGGCCACATCGTCAAAGGTGACTGGCTTCTGGAAAAGCAGGAGACACTCAGGGAGTCATCCAAGCACAAGGTTTAGAAACCCGAGAGAAAAATAAAACCATGGAAGGAGGGGAGAAATAGGAACCGACAGGCACAGAGCCAGCAATGTTAATCGACAGAAAGGGAAGGAAGACAAGGGGGGGCTTGGTGTGCCCTGAATAACATAAGAAGGGCCGCCACTCCATGGAGGGCTGCAGGGCAGGGTGGAGGCGGGGGCTGAGAAAGGCCTGGCAGCCCCTGGTCCGGGGGGTTGTTCAGCTTGGAACCGTCTGAAACCCCATCTGACCACGGAAGGGGGACAGATGAAACAGCTCCGGTCTGGGAGCGTCCCGCCTGCTCACCTCCAGCCATGCCTCCCACCAGCACTCTCTCTCCACGGCTTCCCACCGCACTGCCTCATCCACCTGCAGGAGCAGCTTCTCTTCCGCGGTGTCTGCTTCCGGCTTTGTCCACTCCTGGCCTGGGCCCCAGGGCTGACTGGACCCCTTCCTGGGGCTCTGTGTGTCCTGGTCACTGTGCAGACGGAGAGGCTGTGCGGAGGCCTCCCTGAGGTTTGGCATGGCTTCCCGGGACGAATGTACCTGCTCCTCCTGGTTTTGTTCTGCAGTCACACCTCTGGTCCCTCAAAGCCCAGGCTACAGGGCTCAGGGACTGGTTACCGGGGCTCTGCTGCCGGTGTGGGGGCTACGAAGACATCTGCCTCCTGTCTGCCCTGCCTCAGCCCCTGGCCAGTGCCCACCTCTCTGAACCTGAGGTCAGAGAGAAACAAAACCCATCACCAGACGGGGAGTGAGCAGCAACAGGTCCCGTATCTGGTCAGGGAACACCGAGAATTATCAAAGCCCAGCTCTGTGTCAGCGCAGCCCCGGAAGGTCATAATTACCAACCGTATTTCAAGGAATCTAAAGTGCAGAGATGCTAAGAAGCTCCGTCCACAGCAGAGTTAGTGTTCAAAGCCTAGACCGTACCACTGAGGACAGGGTGCCCGTGTCTCAAGCACCCTCTCGGGCAACCGTGCAGAATTCTGCACACAGGGTGTGCCCTGGATCTGTCTCAAACCCCCTAGTGCAAGTCTCACCCTTCTGACAGCATCTCACCAGAAAATGGGAAAGCAGACACTCTCTAAGACCCCGTCTAGTACCGAAAACTGGGATTCTGTGGGTTTTTCACATGCACTCCTTGTAAGGGAATCATAAAGATCCTCGTAAAGACTAAACAGGTAACAAGCCAGCAGCAAACACTTGGCTCTGGTGAGCCCCGCACTGGGGACGCCGGCCGCTCAGGGAGCTCCTGCCCAACCCCCACCTCCTCCGCGGGCAGCCTCTCACTTCACTTCTCCTTCTTGAGGTGCAATCCCTTAAACAAAGACATAAAAACCCACTGACCTTTTTTTTTCTTTCACTTTTTCTGCACTGGTGGTGAAACTGAAAATAGCCAGAAAAAGGACATTTGACGATGGAGTTAATTGGATTGCTGAAAGGGAGGCAGATGTGCATGCTGAGGTTCAGTCTCTCTATCCCTCCTTCCTTCCCATCAGGACTGTGCACAGTCGTCGTACGAGATGTCAGGTGGGGACGGTCCCCTACCCGGCAGCCCGAGGACCCAGGAGGCTGTACTGTTCCCCGCTGGTCCTCCAAACAGCATTGCTGGGGGTGCTGGGAAGAGGCCCTGTCCGTATCCTCAACCCGACGTCTGGTTTGGGGACTGAGCAAGGCCGTGGGGTCGGAATTGCTGGCAGCTGTGGCTGGCCCCTGACCGTGCCCGAGCACTTTCTACACCCACACCCCTCAGAGGGGAAGGAGGCGGCGGTCCTGGCGACCCGCCCTTCCCGAATGTAAATGCCCTGAGGGAACCTGTCGCCATCTTCCCGTCCTCACACAGCACCCAATCTCTCTGACCCCAAACCACCGTCAGCGCCTTCCCACAGCAATTCTGAGAAGGACCAAAAGCCCCAACACCCCTGCCAGACTTTGTGGGATCCGCCAGCACCTCAGGCTGCAGCTGCTGGAGCCTCGGGCTCTCCAACTGGGGAAGGCCCTCAGGCTCTCGCCCTCCGCCCCTCGGCTCCCACTCAGTCCCTCCAGGACCCTTTCCAGCCAGGCCCAGCCCTGCGATCGGATCCTTTTGTCGCTTCGGGGTGAAGCCTTCCACAGGCGGGAAGGAGACAAAACTATTAACTCCCACTGGATGCGGCTGCAGTGCTCCCATCGACCGGCTGAAACTTCCCTTCTGGGATCCCCTCTTTATCAACTCCAGCCAGGGGCCCCCATTATGGCCGGAGAAGTGGGTGCCCCGGGCCACACCCTTGACACCCAGGTTTTCCCCAGGGCCCAGCGGTTGGGAGCCTCTCCAAGATGACGAGTGCAATGCCCCGCCTGCCGCTTCAGGCTCGAGGAGTGCGGGACAAACACCCTGCACTTGCCTCCTTCCCCGCAAGCTCAACACCCAGCTGCCCCACTCACCCACAGTGCACTGAGGACAGGGACTCAGGGCGCCCAGTGCCCACCTGCTCAGCGCCGGTGGCTCCGGGCAGCCGCACTCTCCCGGCCGGGTTCCTCGAGCCCACCGCGTTCCCCCTGCCCGGGGGCCCAGCTAAGGCTGCGGACCCACCAAGGTCAAGAGTTCACAGCCGAGAAGCCAGGAAGGAAGAGAGCCCCGCCCCCCACCAGCCCACCCTCCTACCAGTAGCAACCGCGAGTCCCACCTAGTGCCGGGATCTTGCCTTATTCCCAATCTTAATTTGCTCTTGAAAAAAAGAGGATTAACTCTGATTAAAACTCACAGCCTTTAACTGCCACCATCTAGAGCCAAAACGAGACCCACGGGCCCCCAGAGGAGAGGCGCAGGCGCACGGCATCTTAGGAAAACGAAGGCAAAGGGGAGATTGCACACCTTGACCAAAATGCTGGAGGTAGGGGAGCGCGGGGAGGACCATGGCAGGTAGAGGTCACTTCCTTGGCCACTTACCCTCACCCAGTTCAACCTGGCTCAGGGCTATTATTTTTTAAAAGATTTTATTTATTTATTTGACACAGGGGGCAGGGAGAGACAAGCAGGGGGAGCATCAGTCAGAGGGAGAAGCAGGCTCTCCGCTGAGCAAGGAGCCCAATGCAGGGCTCCATCCCAGGGCCCTGCGATCATGACCTGAGCGGAAGGCAGATGCTTAACCGACTGAGCCACCCAGGCGCCCAGGCTCAGTGGTATATATGTAGGTCTTTAATCAGTCCGATGGGTATCACATTTATTGTTTTCCACTTAATTAGCACTTGATGTGGGAAACAAAGACAAAAGAAAAAAATTAAATTTCCTTGACAAGTCCTTGAAACAGGCAGAGTGACCTTCCTCTGGGAGCTCAGCTGCCTGGATGTGGACACTTTGCTGAGGGCAAAAGGCAACCTTAACCCCAGGGTCCTGTGAGTCTACTTTAATACATAGAAACTCCTTTGGAAACTTCCTTTACCTCTACCGCCCAAAATGTATGGTAGCAACCATCCCCCAAGCAGATGACCCACTGATACACATCTGAAGGGTCGCATGACTGAGTTCTTACTAAACAGTAATAAATGAACTTTCCTAACAGTAGCTAGCCCCCTCAGGATCCTGGAAACCTTGTTTCCAACATACCTTGGAGGCCTGCGCTGTCCCTACCCCCTCCCAACTAGAAAGTACGTAAGGGGCCACTCCTCACGACCCCGGTGCAGCTCTTTCTGCCCACGGGTCCTGTCCCGTGCTTTAATAAAACCACCTTCTTGCGCCAAAGTCGCTCCTGGCCGTCGGCTCCAAACCCCAGCATTCCCACATCAGCACTTATCATATTCCACTTAGTGTTAGGATCATCTGTTATGTTTCACGTTGGCATGGGGTTTTACAATTTACAAAATATGTTTGCAAACATGGCCTCCATCGAATCCCCGCAAATATCCCCTGAGGTAAGACTTGTTATTCTGTCTGTGCAGGTAGGAAACAGTCCCTCAGATGCTGAGCCTTTCCGACCCAGGTCTGCAATTTAGCAACAACCAGGGCACCATTTTAGCAGTTGTCTTTGAGGATTTAATGGAAGCCCTGTTTACAAGTTTCTTTTCTTTCTTCCTTTTTCTTTCTTTCTTTCTTTCTTTCTTTCTTTCTTTCTTTCTTTCTTT